AGGCCTCCCCGACCCCGCACAGAGTCAGAGAAGCCAGGCCTCCCCGACCCCGCACAGAGTCCAGGCCTCCCGAGGCCTCCCCCACCCCGCACAGAGTCGGAGAAGCCAGGCCTCCCGACCCCGCACAGAGTCCAGGCCTCCCGAGGCCTCCCCGACCCTGCACAGAGTCGGAGAAGCCAGGCCTCCCCGACCCCGCACAGAGTCAGAGAAGCCAGGCCTCCCGAGGCCTCCCCCACCCCGCACAGAGTCGGAGAAGCCAGGCCTCCCCGACCCCGCACAGAGTCCAGGCCTCCCGAGGCCTCCCCGACCCTGCACAGAGTCGGAGAAGCCAGGCCTCCCGAGGCCTCCCCCACCCCGCACAGAGTCGGAGAAGCCAGGCCTCCCGAGGCCTCCCCCACCCCGCACAGAGTCAGAGAAGCCAGGCCTCCCGAGGCCCGGCCAGGCAGGACCGGGGTCTGAGCTAAGTGACTCCAGCCCCAGGTACAAACCCCCAGAAGGACCTGGGGCGGGGGTAGCAACATCACAGGTTCTTGTACCCTTAATTTCCTGTTTTAAAATACATTTTTTCTTATTTTCTGCGTGTGTGTGTGTGTGTGTGTGTGTGTGTGTGTGTGTGTAAGGCTGCTTCGGGAACTGCCTGTGTGCGTCCACAGGAGCAGAAAGAACACGGTTGCCTTGTGGTCAGGAGGGCTGGGAGAACGGAGAAGCTGTATAACCAAAGCATGCTGAAAGTGGATAAGTGCAAGTTCCATACTTCCCTGAAAGACAAACTATGAAAAAGGATAAAACAAGGCGGGGAAGCGGAATAAGAACGTTTATTACCACATTCTTGATAAGTTAAAAAAAAAAAAAAAGACTAGAAGGGCTGGGAAGGTGGCTCAGTGGTAGAGCGCGTGCCTTGCATGCATGAGGCCCTGGGTTTGATTCCTCAGCACCACATAAGCAAAAGGAAAAAAGCTGGAAGTGGCGCTGTGGCTCAAGTGGTAGAGCGCTAGCCTTGAGCTGAAGAGCTGAGGGACAGCGCCCAGGCCCAGAGTTCAGGCCCCACA